CTTCACGTTCGGTTTCATTTTCTAATATCAGTTCAGAATCTGAATGCTCCTCATGTTGGATTTCATTTTCTACTGTAAGTTCTAGATGTTCCAAGGAATCCTGAAAATTATTAAAAATAAACGTCAGTATTTTTTAACTTCAAACTAAACGGGTGTCTATGGTTTACACTATTGGCGATATAAAATGTTGCGGATGAAATTACTAAACTCTATAAAATCTTTATAATCATTTTAAAATTGATTTATAAACTGACATGAGAAACGTGTAGAACTTGTCGAGACCTCTCATTTGAGACCAAACACTAGGAGTTAATCGCCATTAGTTTACTAAGTATAAAAAAAAAAAACAAAATGACGTGAGAAACGAGTAGAGCTTGTAGAGACCTTTCATTTGAGACTAATCACGAGAAGTCGATCACCATTGCTTCACAAGTTATAGTCAAAAATAAAGTTATAATAGCCTATTTTTATACAAATTTGGTTTTTTATTCCTGCATTCCTTCCTTCCGGCTACTAGAACGGCCTTGGTACGTATTATAGTAAGCCATATTTTATTACTTAATAACTTTGTTATAAAGCACTTACGTGATTAATTTCTTCAGAATCATTTTGGCCAATTTTGACAGGAGTCTTGTGAGAAATCTTTTTAAACCTAGCACCACCTTTTCTTTTAAAATATCTTTCCTTACGCTTCCCCATTTTTTCTACAACAAATTATAAAAATTATTATATTTAAAAAATATCGATATATGTTTTCATTATATATATACACATATATATAATGAAAACATATATCATTGAATTGATAAGTAATAAACAAATAATTCTAATTAAAAATATTACAAAATAAATTAAATCAGAAAATTGAAAAAAATGACTTACTTTACTTTACTTTACGCCGTCTGCAGAACAATATGATATGTACGTATGACGTACACAAATAGATCGCGAAATTTGGCTAAGGCACGTCGCTCCGAAAATGGACGTGACCTCTCTCTCTGAGCTCCCGCGGGCGAATGATTTCCCGAGCGCGTGCGTTCGGATTTATATTCAAATTCGGAGTTCATATATAAAATGTATGGCGAATTTGGGACGCTTTTTAGAAAATTCATAACTAAATCACAAAGCCAAATATAAAAAATGTAAAACGGACGAATTGTGGTGCATACGTTGTAGATTAATATTAATTCCATGTTTTGAAATAATTGAACTAATTTCGATAAAAATTTAACTAAACGGCAACATACCATTTTTAGGATTTTGTCTAACTTTATGAATTTTTAAAACAGAAACTAAAGATATTTATTTATTTTTGCTTCGGAATAAAGGTAAATACATTCTTAGTGATGTTTAATAAATAATTTTTATATTAATTATTGTAACCATAAAGGATAATTTCACTTAACAGTGACTATCTTTTTTGAAGTATTTTGCTCGATGGGCTCTTAAATCGCTTTTATTATTCTTTATTGCAATCATCCCGACAGTACAATGCTCCTATAACATAACACCATTACAAAACAGCAGTCTCTATTTTGATACAATAACAAGCATGCATTTAATACGAGACGACTGGCGCCTCGTTGTCTACTATGACACATTCCCTTATCAAGAAGGTAATACGGCGCTAACAAAATATATACAATACTTAAATAACATGTGTGTAATTATGAAGGCACGATCACATTGCGAAGAGATCTTGTTGCAACTTCGGCACGAGTTCACGGAACTGCAATATTATAATAACATTTTAACTATTCAACATGATAACATACTAGAAACCCGCCCACGTCGCCGGCGCGGCTTAATCAATGGTGTAGGAAGTATTGCTAATAGTTTATTCGGTATTTTAGACGAAAGTTTTGCCGAAAAATATGAAAAGGACATTGAACTTATCAAGCGAAATCAAAACCATTTAGCAACCCTATGGAAAAATCAAACGACCGTAGTGGAAGCGGAATTTAATTTACTAAAACGCACTAAAGAAATCATGGAGAAGAACCACAAGAATATTAACAGAAAAATTATATCTCTAGAAAATTCAGAGGATCAATTCAAGAGGGAGCTTCAGAATATTTCCTTCACGAGTGAATTTATCAGTACAGCCATGCTAACAAGTAACCTTATTATCAGCCTCAGAAATATACAACAAAATTTACTCGACACTATTACAAATATATACAACGGAAAATTTAATTTCCACTTGCTATCTCCCAACCAGTTAAGACAAGAACTGAACGTTATAGCAGGCCAGCTCCCTAAAGACCTATCATTACCAATAGATAACTCTAATTCGTATGAAATCTACAACTTACTGCAGGTGCGAGCTCGAATAAGAAGTAACTATATCATATTCGAAATCAAGATACCTCTCATCAGCAGAGATATGTTTGAAGTCCTGGAAGTCATACCAGTACCTTATATATCAGAAAATAAAGAAGAAATTTCCGTAATACCAGTATCAAGATACATCGCTATCAACTTGAAAAAAGACTCCCTAGTGCCACTGACTGAAAGGGACCTGGATTTATGTACTAGAAGAGATCCCAAAATTATTTTGTGCCATCATAAAAGACCTATTTACTACATAAAAGATGATCATAGTTTCTGCGAGACTCTGCCCTTCTCAAGAAAATGTAAAACAGTTACCAGACCCTGCTACAATCGCTGGATAGAACTAAATAAACTAAATACATATTTCTATTTTTGTTGCGACCAGTGCAAAACGAAGTTACTATGTGACGATCAAGTTACGGCAGTGCAATTGACCCGCTCTGGCCTATTTAATGTTGGTCAAGGTTGTATAGTCAAAGCAGCTGATTTCTTTGTTTATTCACACCGACAAGAACTTAGCGAAATGAACATCAGTTCTGATATACAAGCCCCTAAGATATCACCAATTAATCACATCATCAATATATCGTTACCCGATCGCTCCTTACCGAACAATACGAATGATGATATAGCCAATAATCTACAGATGATCAAGGAACAGATTGAATTTATGAAGAACAACGAGCCCCTAGCAGAGAGGGTTTCTTATCATGATGTCCACCACTACGCTGCGATATATGTGTTATTTGCGGTCGTTGCGGTGGGCGCCCTGGTGTACAGCTGGAGGCGCTGCAGGCGGTCGGCGCCGGGAGCACCCGCGGAGGCGGGAGTGTCGGTGCCTATGACGGAACAGGAGACATCGTCGCCACATTTTCTACCGAGTGTCAGTGCTCAGTGTAGTGAAAGTGTTACGGTCAATCAGTGTCAAAGTGTGAATGCTCAGTGTAGTAAATGTTTTAGAGGCAATCAGTGTCAAAGTGTGAGTGCAAATGATTTTTCAAAAAAGAATGCACGTGTGTTTAAGCAAAACAGAAGCACTTCGCCTGTGCTAAGATCCGTGTACGCAATTCCAAACCAGTGTACATAGACTAGTCTTAGATAAGAATATTGTTTAATCACCTTGTACATTCGTGTACTAATCAAGTTATCATTTGCACTATAGATAAGAAATAATGGTATCACCTTGTAATTAGATTAAGCCTCACTAGCATCCATCATCTCTATTTGCTTTTACTAACCCCATCTTTGCTGCCCGGGAATATGTACGAGCATGTAATGCAACGTACAATTGTTAAGTCATCATTTCACAACTTGACCTCTTTTACATATTTCCGCGGCACAGGTATTTTAAAATCAGTTCGCCGATAGCCATCAAGAGCGCTACGCGTACTCATTATCAGTAGTTCTAGCCTTTTAATTTGTATACTTGTCCATAATATATTTTATCAAGCGTTATCAGTTTATCGTCGCCTTAGTGTTGGTACTACCCCGAACAAAAAGCAAAAATAAACGCGATAAAATCCGTAAAAGTAGTTTTAATCATGTGTAGTGTTCGCGTAAATATAAGAAGCCCTTCCAGTGATGTTAAGTCAGGCATAATAAAGAGCTTTTAATAAACAAAATTGCCTATAGAATCACAAATTTATAAAAAAACCATTAAGTGCAATTTTTCAAAAAAATTACAATTACGTAGTTATTACTCGAACAAGTTGACAAAACGTATTGTTCGAGAAAATAAAACAAATGAATGAGAAAAGTATATGTCATCTAATTTTCTATTTTCAAATTTGACAATAAATTAAAAAAATATCATAACTGGCCAGTTCCTCAAGTAAAAGATTTTAAAATCCTACTTTTTTTGTGTTCTGCTAATTGTGCCGGTGTGTATAATTTTAAATAATTTTACAAATCTTAATAAAACAGAAAAAGATTCGATCTTCATTCTCTAGGGTGAAATATCGATTCATTAGAACGTTTCAGTACTATATATCGATATGACATTGACAGATGAAACATCAAAAACGTAATTAATTTCATTTACCAATATTTTTAAAAAATACTTCGACACTGCTCCGGTAGCAAAAACCGAGTGGGGGTGCTTCAGATAAACACCCTTGACCCCCCACAGTGACAGAATCTTCAAATTCAGGCGACCGAATTGTAAACCCAACCCTATACAAATGTTAGTGCAAAATATCTTCAGACATAATTTAGGCTCTTATAAAAAAGTTTTGTCAGAGCTCAAAATGTTTTTTTATAGGATATGAGTGACGAACGAGCACACAGTCCACCTGATGGTATGTGGTTGCTGTGGCCCACAGACAACTACATCTATCCTTGATTATGAATCAAAATGCAGATGCGTTGTTACCTGTGAGAACTAAGATGGAATGCCTCATCTGCAGTAAAAAGGGTCTCCAGTTCTCTACACTCACCTTATGAAACACAGCAGCATTAAGCTGCTATTTTACGCTGGTATATTACACGTGAGACATGAGACACTACTGTGAGAGTGTGGTCTTTCCGACCCATTCATGCTACAACTACACTACTATTATAATTGCAGCATGGCTCTACCATGTAAAAAAAGTTTAGGATTGGTGACCAACATGAATATGTTTACATGCAATATATTATCAAAAAAGCTTCACTTCATGTATACTTACAGCTAATAAATATCTTGTTATGTACTGCACTGCTCCAAAGGATCCAAATATTATTAATAATATGTTAACAAAGTTTGCGATAATAGGGAGCCACATGTAACCCAAGAAATCAAAAACTTGTCGTTGTAAAGTAATTATCTGAAAAAGAAAAATGGAAGTACAAAATAGGAGATGTAAGAAGATATTTTGTTATTGGGTCATTTATTAAATCAGTAATTAATGATATTCGATCATCAATGATGTTTATTAACATAACATTCATTTATTGGGAAATTATCAAAATTCATAAAACAGCTGTTTTGTTTCAAGTATTATACATAAATATTACAGAAATAAATCTTACAACTAACATGTTTGTATTCCATGCAAATAAGACTTACCAATTCAAGTATACACACGATTAGCAAGACAGTTCGCAAACTACAAACAGCCATTTCGATGTTCCTTTTTCTTTATTATTTCATTTCATGGAGAATTAATTTAGGATTATTAAAAATTCCCATTTTAAAAATACAACTGGGATAAAAGTGAGCAGAAATATTTTTTTAACGTCAAATTCAAATGTCAAATAAATTGTCACTGGCATAGACAGTGCTGCCAACATGGAATGATTGAAAGTTACTGCGAGTGCGGCAACGCAATAAGGCATGCATACAAAATTATATAGATTTTTGCAACTAAATCGCCTTATTCACGGTCAATCTTGCTGTTCGTCCCGCCAAGGTTATGCACGACGCACAACGCAAAACGACAATAGGTAGGCATGTACGTCAATAAATACGTATGTCAATGTCAAGCATTAGTATAGTGCCACCAACTTATCTGTTCAGTTTACAGAGTCGCTAGTGGAGTGCTTACTATTGCCATTTAAGAAATTCGCCGAGGAAATAGGTGACTACATATTCATTAGGTACACATAATATAAAATAAAACAAATTTCGTGTTAATATATTAAAATTAGTGAGAATTAGTGTTATTATATATATTATTTATATTTTATAAAAATAATTGTGGTCGTGGTCTCGGAGTTCAAGCGGCCGAACTCCAGGAATTTCTGTTTTGAAAGACGTACCCGCGTTAGCTACTGATTCCAATAATTCATCTTTTGAGTCACTGGAATCGCTTTCGCTATCGCTCTGACACTCTATAATAAAGGGTTCATCTAAATACGCGTCTTTTAGTCTGTATTCATTTTTAATTTTTTTCACATGATTACAAATGTTTTTCCACTGCACCGGTGTAATTTTATTGAATGCATCTTCAATTAATTGGGGCATTAGAACATTAGATTTTCCAACATTTTTGTCTGCTATGTTCCTTTTCATAGAGCTCCATATCATTTCAATTGCGTTCAAGTCGCAATGATAAGGCGGCAATCTAAGAATAACATGGCAGTAACTTTTCATCAGGTTATCAATTTCATATTCCGGAGCAGGTTTATTTTTCTTTATTAACTCATAAAGCTGTGGTTTTGTCATTTGTTCATTGAAATCCACATTGTTTTCTACAAGCCACTTCTGCATATCAGCCTTATTGTGGTTTGAATTAGGACACCTATTTACGCAAATACTATGGTATGGCGCATTATCCATCACAATGAGAGAAGGTTCATGCAGATTAGGTAGTAATTTTTCATATACCCATTTTTTGAAATTAGTGCTATTCATTTCATCATGGTAGTCCCCATACTTTGTATTTGATTTAAATACGAGAAGTGCATTTTCCACAAAACCTTTTTCTCCACCTGCATGGATTATGATCCACCTATTACCTTTCGAAACAGGTTCCAAATCGCCATCCTCTTCATTTCCCAGTTGAGTGAGACGAATGTATGTAAGTTTCGTCTAAATAAATAATAGGTCTTTTTTCACCACACTCATTTTCTTTAATTTTTTGTAGGTAGGTTGCTCTCCATGCAACTACGTCGTTACGTTCATACAACACTTTTCTATTTGATTTTGTTTTCTTATAACTAAATCCTATTTTGTGAAGCAATTTTCGAAGAGTTTCACGTTCTGCTTTGAAATCAATATCTTCTTTTAAAATACTCAGTAATTTGGGTATGGTAGGAATTTCTTTTTTTCACTGAATAAAATTCGTGAATTTTTCTTCTTATAACACCAATGTCGAAATTATCAACTTCTTGTTTCCCGGTTTTTCTTTGCCTTTTTTTGCCAGGGGTAGAAATTTTAGAATTTAATTCTTCAGCGTGTTTCTCTTCATTTACGAGTTTGTGTACAAATCGCTCAGAAACACCTGTAACGAAACGACAAATAATTATTGTATAGGTAAAATTAAATAAATATAAGCCCGTGTATATGCCGTCACTATAGCTACTTCACAGACCACAAATTACAAAGCTAGGTAATTTAGACGAATTACAGTAAATTGAGAATTTTTTTTTACTATGTTTCACAAGTACATTATTAGGTGATTTTAATTTTCCATATCTGGCAATACTAACCTGTCGCGGCAGTAATGCGTTCATACAGCTTTTCAAATGGTATAATTGGGGCTTGTACACGTTTCTCTTCTTTCATAAAAGATAAAACTTTTAGGATAATCTGTCGCGCATCACTTTTAAGAGCTTTAGGCATTTTATTTGCACTTTTTAAAAACACTCACCTGATAGCTCAGAATAAACATAATAACTGACAGCGAAATGTCATTTACAAAATGGCGGCCTTAGTTCCAATTTTGTCCACCTGAACAGATAAGTTGGTGGCACTATATTAGAATCTAAGGCGTACATTATAGCGTAAGCGTAATCCTAGGTATATGTACATTACACGCTCATGCAGGCTGCCAGTTGCACAACAATCACGGTTGTGATTGACGAATAACCTACCATGTAATGCAGTGATTGACGCCTGCATGAGCGCGTAATGTACGCCTTCAGTTTTTTATCAATCATGATTAATGGAATTGATTGACGCCTGCATGAGGCGAAATCTGGTGAAACCGCTATTATATTTAAGTGCGCATTTTGCCGACGTAATTTGATGTTCATTTCTGACAAGTATGTAATTACTTTGTTTCGTACTAGCGACCCGCTCTAACTACGCCTGGGTAGGATCTATTAACGCAGCGTTATTAAGATACCCATGTGATAATTATTAAAGGCAATCAACTTAATCAATTTAACGATTTTTCAAAAAATCTCTTCATTTTTTCGGATAAAATATAGCCTATAGGGATCGAGGCCACTATTCTTTATCTGTTTGTGTGTGTGACAAAACCTAGGTCATTCATCGTCACTCCTTCTACTCGTACTTCATCCACTTACAAACAACATTCTTGTAATCAACATTCAAACAATCAACATTTCTACAATCAACATTTATACAACCAACATTCACGCAACCTCTCATGCCCGTTGTGTAAGAATAATCATACAATTTATAACTGTTCTAAGTTCAAATCATTACCAATATGTATGTATAAATTGCCTAAAAACAGTAACTGGCTATCGTAAATGAAAATACAACTTCGAAAAATATTTACCGTGGTTGTTACCCGCCCAGCCACCTGCACGATCCACAGCTGTGACACAGTTTTGGTTCCGAATTGCCGGTCTAGTAGTATACAATAAAGTATTTTACACGATGAGAGACGGTAGTGACTTTTTCAAATTATATGTTATGGCAGTAAAATTGCCCATACAAGTTACAATCACTGCTATATCAGTACCGTTCTAAAGTAATACTAAAGAATAATAAACGAAGACAGTACTGTCACAGCCGTAAGCCGTAGTGTCAAATTATTATGCATGCCTGTCATGTTAAAATTACACTACGGTTATTCCCGTAATCTGCTATAGCCGTACCGTGTTTTATAAATATTTAACGGGTTCAAAATACGATGCTACGGATATAGCTGTATACAAATATATTGCTATATATAATTATAGCTTTCAAAATAAAACCAAAATGTATAAGAAAACCTATCATTTATTTAATCTCATAATGTAATACTCGGAAACAGTCATTTTTCACAGTGGCAAGGATCCCTATTATGTATAAAACTTTAGCATAAAAACAAAAGTACATTAATTCAGTAACAAAATATTAATTCTAAATCTCTAGTCGGCCTCTAAGTAAATAGATAATAATTTACCTAAAACTTAGTCTTCCTGCTGATTACTTGCATGCAAAATGTGCCAATCTTGGAAACATTCCGGACACAAAGGTGTTCTTTTCACACATCCCTTGCCGATATATTTAGTTTATTTTCGTTAATTTACTTTAGTGCATAATTTGCAATTCAAATATTTGAATTTTCTTATACTATCATCAGAGTTCGTTGGAAGTGGTATCACGACTGGCCAGTGACCTTTCATTGCTGCGACACTACATTCTTCCATAACTTTTTGCCTAAATCTTTGGCTGCTGTACACACTATCTTTTCTTACCACGTCGGGACCCTTTACGTTATCAGAGACTTGACACATTTCTTTTATCAATTGGTCTCTGAACTCAATGGACTTATATTTATCATTCTTTTTCACATATTTTTATACAAAAAATAAGCGTTCCAGAGACAATGAAAAGTAACCCTTTTATAACATCTTAGACTTTAACGAGGGGATGAATAATATGAATAATCTGATCGACTCTATCTACTCCCCCATAAAACAGTTCTAAGCAGCTACTTCGGCGGGTTTAGTTGCTAATTTGCCATATTGATTTGACACTTGTGCTAGTTTTGAGTAGTCCCGGGTAGAAATTGTAAAAACCGGTCTTTTATCTATCAACATCGAAACATAACATTTGGCCTTTGTGGAACCAGTAATAATCACTTTCTTTTAGCTTTAGACTTGTTAGTGCTCTTGGGTTGCCTTTACGGTTTTTTCTTAATGTCCCACAAAAGTGTATCCGCAAACCTTATAACTTATGCGATAATTCTACTGAATTGTAAAAATTATCCATGAAAACAGAGGTGACCTTTGAACAAATATTTTTCCAACTGTTTCAGCACAATATTTTGAGTTTTCTTTCCTGTCTCTGAGTTTATCTTTACCACGGTAAATCATTATATCAAGGACATAACTGTCAGCAGTTGTGAGGACATGGAATTTTATACCATATCTCGCTTTTTTGATTTTATGTATTGTCTAAAGTATATTCCACCCCGAAATAGGAAGTTATTATTCAGAGCTTTTATATTCACCCTTTGCTTGATCATCCCCTATACACAGACATCTTATGATTTGTTCGAATCTCCTACCAGATGTTATATATTGAAAAAACGGAGGTTAGTACAGCGGATCATTGAAAAAAAACTGTCTAACGGGGAATTTCAATTGCCCTTGAAGAAGGCATAAGCCAAAAACAGATAACATATCCTGCTTACCCACAGGTCGAAATTTATAGTGACAAATATTCCTCGTGCGGGACCCATCTTGACTAGATAGTTTCTCATCATACTTATTTGTACAATCAATCATGTGATCCATAAGGCTATCGGGAAAAACTAATTGGAATATATCTATTGGCGTGTGAATGAGATTTACATCAAACTTTGGTCCTGTTAATAACTCGTAAAAGTGGAAATCAGCAATTGATGTAGTCGTTTTTGACCACCCTTCAACGTTTTGGAGCTGCGCTGAATTGGTGACTATTTGCGCAGCAGGCTGTTCCACCTCTGGAGATTGAAGAAAAATATCGATGTCGTTAGGCAGCAAATTATCACTAGACGTTTGTACATCAGGCTGTTCCACCTCCGGAGACTGAAGGACTGTATTCACGGCAGTTATATCTTCTTGAGTTAGCAGAGACGGACTTACCGGTGCATTATTATCGTTACTAGCCGAAGAATAAGTAAGATGGCATGATGAGATTCCATTGAACCCGATTTCATTCTCGGAAGATTCCGACTTAGCAGATGGACGATAATCTTCCTCAGAACCATACTCTCCCTCGTCATCGTGAGACGGGTCTTCGATGTCGCTGGTTTCCGGTGTTGAAACATCTTCCAGAAGATGACTGATGTGATCTGAATCCATCTAGAACAAAATATGATCATTCATGTTACACATGCACCTTTGAAATAGATTTATCAGTCTACACATTTTTGTTTACTAGTCTCAGTGGTCTATCAAATCATTTTTAGTACAATCATTTTTAATACGATCTGAATCCATCTAGAACAAAATATGATCATTCTCTAAACATTTTTGTTTGCTAGTCTCAGTGGTCTAACAAATTATTTTTAGTACAAATAACAATCAAAATACTCACGTTCGTTCATAAATTTAGGCACGAAAAAATGGCGCGAAAATCGACGAACACAACGTTCTCATTTGGCGCGCGGCGCGACACTACCATAGATTAATGAATATGACACTACTCAAGCCCCCAAGCCTTCGCATAGAATCTTCATAGACCAACCACGGGGATGACCGTAGTGTGCGGGTGTGGGTACCCTAGAAAACGAACACGAGCCTATATTTTCAATGTTTGATTTTATGAGTTCTAATGCTTCTGAACAAATAAGAAACTGATGTGATACGACAGTAAAAACGGTTTTCCTTGTTTCTCTATACGAAATTTCACTGCACTGACCGTACTAAAATAATTTAAACTTTTACGGTGATGCCCGGTATCGTATTAAATACATAACATAAATACTCTAGTGTGATGATAAGCAGATGACAAAAATATTTTCATAAATATGGTGTCGATACAAAGAGTTCATAGATATTTTTGTTTAAATATCGTTTAATTCATATATCCAACCCAAAGTAAGTTATTATCTAAAATCTGCACAATCCTGCTGCCATGACACAAACACACATGATAGTTTTGGTGGGATCTTGCTATTCTTGTTTTATTTTTGTAGTGGATTTTGATATAACAAACTAAAATATTTTGATATAACAAAAAAAAATTGACGAAACAAGCAGTGGCGGCCCTAGCAAAATTTTAGGTGGTGGCTTAGTGTTCCTACACTATGCAGTTGCTTTTTCGTGATTTTAAATAGTCTTAGACCTATCAAATATCTACAGGTGTATATAGGGGGCAAGCGCAGTTGTGTCTGCCACTCTTGCCATTGCAGTTGTTCTGCTTATTCGCGTTGTTGTTGTCCATTCCGCTGGCACTGCTCTGTTGCGCTCGAAAACGCTACTATTTGCCTTGCTACCGTGACTATTCGTACAGATTATTTCTCATAATAAGAGTTAATAATCTTGTTTGACAACTTTTATTAAAACTATTGTTCTGCGGAAAGTGTTAAGAAACATAAAAGAACTACCAACAACAAACATAATGAAAAGCCTAGATGGTCAGCTTTTTGGCTTATGCGCTTGCATTTTTTTAATTAAGTCGGAATAATTTAGCTTCTGGTCAATAGATTTTTTTATGGAAAATGTATATATATATATATATATATATATATATATATATATATATATATATATATATATATCAAATTCCAAGAAATGACAGTCTTTCCTGCCACATAGTAAAAACGTAGGTAAATTTTTAAATTTTTAACGTACTGGAACTTCGTTTCCATTTAGCGATAGTTATAGTACAGATATAGTCAGCAAGATACGAAGTGCTGTCTACACTTTTGGGAAAAATATCCTGCCAATCATTAATTTTAATAAGTCTGAGAACTTTATGTGGCTTTGCTGATTAATGATTTTTAAATAATGGGTTTAAGCTCATAAGTTCCTCAACTAATTTACAACTAGACAAGTCACATTATGCCCATTTGCTCAACTGATTTGCAAATTAACACAGACTTTTTGACTTTTCAGGAATTTCAAATTTTTTTTGTTTCGCTTCTACACGTAAAGTAGTCTCTGTGGTGGCTGAAGGCTAAGTGAACGGCGAACCGAAACAGTTGCTATTTATACAACTCGCTGATCAACGAGTTGTATAAATAGCAGCGTGTGGAGATCGAAGAGTGCTAGGAGTAGTGGTGATGGGATTAGTGGTGACGAAGGTAGTTTCAGCCTCCACAGTCTACTTCATTTGAGGATCCCTCGTGTAGAGGCGAAACACATGTCGTATTATCAAGGGTGGTGTGTCATCCCTAGTGTGGTGGTGCTGTAATTGGTGGTGAAGGAGATAGTGCACGCAACTGAGAGAGCATGGGAGGTGGATACTCTTCAGACTGGGCAGGACATGTATTTTATTTATGCGGAATTAGCAAAATAAGTTTTAACAACTTCAATATAATGAATTTCCGTAAAGTAACGCCTAATTCTTTTAATTATCGGAAAATTTAAGTATTAGGACGCAACAATCGACCAAAAATAACGTGGAACGCTCACCTTAGCAACGTATGCCATACGGCTAAAATTGTTTTAGGTACGTGCAGTCGTAGGGTTGGGAATAACTGGAGCTTGCGTCCCAGTATGATCCTCTCCTCTCTCCACCTCCATCTCACCATCCTCTTGATATCTCCACAGCAGCATAGTGAGGCGGATTATCACCTATGCCTCCATTGCCTGGTGTAATAATGCCAACCAAAAGACGACTGCGGACAGACTTAATAATCTACAAAGGACTGCCTGCTTAACAGCAACTGGAGCGATGCGATCATAGCCTGGAGCTCTTAATGCATTTCTGTGCCTAATGCCGCTTGATCTTTATTTACACCAGGAGGTGAAGGCTAGTTTGTATAGGATTAATGCCCAGGGCGGTCTGCACCTGCTTTCCTAAAAATTGAGATCCATGCTTGACTCAATTAAGGAAACATGGGTCTTATGTATGATCTCAGATATGCGCCCACTATACACTTTTAATTAAAAGAATATACTAGAACTACCCTCCAGAGAAGACTGGCTGAATGGACAGGTTATCTGTGAGGTCTGTAGCCTTATATGATTTTATAGGGAATGCTCCAAATTCAAACTTAGTATGAATTGGGATAGATTCACCTCTATCTTCCAGGCAGAAATTTTTGTCATACTTGAGTGTGCGGAAATCAATCTGAAAAAACACTACATTACGCGGCATTAGGCACAGAAATGCATTAAGAGCTCCAGGCTATGATCGCATCGCTTCAGTTGCTGTTAAGCAGGCAGTCCTTTGTAGATTATTAAGTCTGTCCGCAGTTGTCTTTTGGTTGGCCTTATTACACCAGACAATGGAGGCGTAGGTGATAATCGGCCTCACTATGCTGCTGTGGAGATATCAAAAGGATGGTGAGATGGAGGTGGAGAGAGGAGAGGATCACAAGACAGTAAGTCCTTTTTCCGAAGATTCACTTACTGTCTTGTAAACAACAGAATACTCGTGCTTTGACTTCCTAATTAGCATCATCAAAACGGAATGTTAGTGATAAGTGAGTGAATCGGTGACCGGTGCCCGGTGGTAGCATTTCGGTTGATTTCGGGGGGCCCCCGATGACGACGCCAGGTGCGGTGCCACCACTCGCACTACCCTAGGGCCGCCACTGGGAACAAGTACTTCAATGGTGACATGAAGCAAATTGCTTGTTAACAAAATAGTATAATATATAATACTGTACTTTTAATTTAACTGTAAATTTTTCTAAAATCAACGCATCGCAACGCATCAATTTATTATGAACAAGTTGGCTAAGATATTCACATTTGTTTAATATAATTATAGTATAGTACGCGACAGATCGAAATGGTAGTTTATATCGATATTTTTGCAACGCAATACAATAAGAGTAAAATTAATTAAATAATGTTTTTTATAAATAAAATGAAAAAATATTTTATAATAAGGTTTAGGTTTAAAGACATTTATTCTCATAAAGACATTTTATACGCCACTTACATGAGAACATAAATAAAAGTAAATCTAAATAAAAAAATTCGTTGTCGTACCTACGTTGTTGAAAAATAAACAACATCAAAAAATAGCTATCGACGGGAAAAATCTATACAAATAAAAGAAAAGTTAAATTCTAGTATTCACTATCACCTTAGCACCACAATACTAAGACCAGGAACAAACCAGTCCAACGCACTCAGATAGATATGTTTGTGATTATATGATTTGCTTGTCGTTTTTGAATACATTGAACATTCTACATTTTTTATTTCCGATGGTATCTTATTAAAAAGGCGCGCACCTTCGCATGTAATTGTGGTCTGGCCGTACTTTGTTCGCGTTTTAGGCAATACGATGAAGCTTGCGCGTCGAGTGCAGATGCGCCCAACTTTTTTTCGCTTGGTGAATTGCAGATCCATGCGGACCTTCTTGTTCATGGATTTGCGAATAAATATACATGTGCTATAAATGTATAATTGTTTGATATTCATCAGATTCGTGTCTCGGAAAATTTTTGAAGTTGACGTTCGGAAATTGTAGTTGAATAGCATTTTTATGATTTTATTTTTTAGGATTTGTAATTTGTTTAATCTAGTACTGGCAGTGCTTCCCCGGACCTCGATGAGATATAACAGGTGTGGTTTAACTAGGACATTATATATTGTGAAACGTAGTTTCTGTGGTGTGTATCGAAAATTAATCCGGAGTCAGGCATGAAGTGACATTAATTTGGTTATTAAATATTTAATGTGAACTTTCCATGTTCCATGTTGAATAAAACTAAATTTACGGATTTTATCGCGTTTATTTCACTACTTTTACTTATTTTTAATTCCCGACGTTTCGGGTGCTTTACAGCAACCAAGGTCACGGGGGGGACTGAGATGTTTGACGTCCCAATGTCATAGTTAGTCCGGCTACCTTCAGTTTTTGTTCCATGTTTCCATGTTCTTGCAATGGTGTATTGTTTATTTTAAGAGGTAAGAAATTGAATATAGGTTTATTTTTTGCTTTAAATATTATGTAGCTAGTTTTGGAAATGTTGATAGTTAGTAAATTGTGTTGTAACCAATCGCGAAGAATGTCAAGGTCCTGCTGGGCTTGAGAGACAAAATCATGAATTGAAGAACCAAAGTAAAAAAGACAGGTGTCATCGGCGTAAAGTGTGATAGGCGTTCAAGCCAACTATACATTGTTAATATAGACTAAAAAGAACAGAGGACCCAATATTGAACCTTGTGGAATT